ATCCCAAGGTTTTGTCTACATTTAGAAACATTAAGAAAAAAGGGAATAAGATTACAACCTGAACTGCTCCAGAATACATTGTTTTATATAATTTCCTTATGATTATTGGGTAGTTTAACAATAAGTTCCCTCTTATATCTCAATTAGAATATTTTATATTATACATCTAATATATTAGTCGGTTTGCAGATTCCCAGCTACCAACTCATAAACATTTACCTTCTTTGGGGGAAGATGGGTCCAAAAATGATTGACTGTTATTTCTGTGAAGCAAGAGAAAGGTCAATTTGGGCTGGAAAGAAATGCATGTCCAAGGCCTGGCAACAAAACTGTAGCCAAGATTTTGCGGGTGGGAATGTGAAGCAATAAAGATGCTGCAGCTCCCTGGAAGCTGGAAATACCCAAGGTTTGGAGGCCTAAACAGAAAGGTACAAGAGTCAGGTTAGCTGAAGGAAGTATTTGCTGAAACAATATTTTATTGTTTTTGCACAGTATGGCAAGCAATTCATAATTTAACCAATCACATTTCAAATTAAAGTGTGTTTTGTGAACCTAGCCTCTGTGATTATTCTGTTGTGTTAAGCCCAGGGAATTGTGTTGAGGGACCATGGATAAGCATGCTGTGCTAACTCAGTCCCAATACTCCTCACTGCTGGCCATAATGCTGGGACCGCTGGGTTTTGTGGATGACAACATCTGGAGACCAATCCCCCCCCTTTGCCCTTTTTCTTTCCCTTGGTTCCACTGGCTACTTGGCTGGGAATGATCAGGGTCGTCTTTGGTTGCCTGCCCCAGATGTGCAAATGAATCTGAACTGAAACTGCAAAGCGATCCTATTCAGTTATTCTAATAAGCAGCAGAGAAACTCATAGGTGAAGCAGGTTTTCCTATAGAGGGCAACCGCTGGAGAGCTGCAAATGTTTCTACCTTCTACCTCCAGTTAAAAGGGCTGCTTTCAACTTGAAAATGGTTTTGTTTGCATGACACACCAGGCACAACTGTGACAACCAAGTTTTAATCAAGCATGCTCCATGAACCTAGGAAATTTCATTAACCATCATTAACCATAGGTAAGCATGTTAACAAACAAGGCCTATGTGAAGCAGTCTAAACATTCAAAGGCACAAGTATTATTAGTACAATAACATCCAACCTAGTAAAAAGCAAATTGTGCATACTGCCTTCACCACACAGAGACTGAAAAAACAAAAAGTGATAACTCTTTTTATTCTTTGTTGATCATTGTTTCCCAACTTCTTGCCCTCCAGATAGATAGCAATTTCTATCACACCCTTCAGAATCTGGTTGGGGACAGCTCATGATCAGTAACCATAGCAGAGAGCAATACAGTCAATTTCTATTTCACACAAGAATTTCTGTGGAAGAAGGGGCTTGAAATATTTCTCTACTCTACCCATGACCTCTTATTTAGATCAGTTGGCATTCTGGCCAAAGTAACTGGAAAGATTGGTCAGTATACTATTGTTATTAGTTAGAACAATACAAAACTGCCTTAGTCAGATCACTAGTTTATTTAGACCAACTTCCTGCAACTTGGTACATCCTCTCCTGCTGCTCCAAAATTTGTTGAGGCTGCAGCTTTCCAAATTCTAGCTGGTGGGGCATTCTTTGCACTGCAGCCCCAATGTTCTAGGGGGAGTCAGGTTGGAAAAGACTGGTTTGGACCACTGAAGCATACTCCAGCTGGGAGCCATCATTTGCCTGTTCTGATTGTGAGGCCTAAACAACTGCAGCTTAAACAAAATGATGTTCAGTAATGACAAAAATGGGAAAGTGTCCTCTTTTAAAAAATTATTTGTGCCAGGGTTCCATGCACAAGTTCCATCTGAGATTTTAAGGTAATGCCATGGTAGTTTCAGAATAAAAATTTAAGTGATTTGCCCAGGCTTGCTCAAACCGTCACTGGCAAAGTTAAGTCTGCTAATGCAATCTGCTCTCTGCTCTGCTTCTAGCGTGGGTATTTTAAAAAGCCCAGTCCAAGGCATCACAATGGAGGAGGTTAGGCACTCTAGGCATACCCCATCTTCCCATGCCAGCCTATCCTTGAATGGCAAATTCCACACACAGAATTTTTCCTCTGGAACACTAGCACAGGAGTAGTGCTATTTCAAACCAGCTGGGCAGCGGCCTTGGGCACAGCCACCTCCCCTTTCTATCTGGCCAGCGCTTGCTTCTGACTGCTCGCCCTCAGCAATGGAGGAGAATTTTGCTGAAGCTGGGCCCATTTAAATATATAAATAAACATATAAATACAAATAAATATTAGTAAGAAACCGGAGGTCCCGGTTCCCTCGGCAGGCTGCTCCCTGCGGACGGAATCCGCTGGCGAGGATTTCAAGGCAGAAGGAGCGAGCCAATCAACCACTCCCGCTTTAGCCCGTCTGGAGGGGCTTTGGAGCCGCACGGGGGCTGCCAAGGGTGTGTATGCGTGAGGGCGGGTGCCCTGGGAAGGTTGAGCTCGCCTTGGCTCGCA